CCTTTTGTTCCTTTCCATGTTTTCAGGTCTTACAACCCACAAGTAGGGAGCAGGAGAAAAGAGAGAAAGCCTGCATGCCAATTCTAAGCTCTTCAGGATCAAAGTGAGCAAAAAGAGGTTAAAAGTCCCTCTCCCCTTCAAGGAACCCATTTTTCAACTAGAGAGGGGTGGGGGCATTTGTTTCTGTGATCCTGGGAAGAGTGTAAGGAGAACCTGATTGCTTGGTAAGATGACAAAGTTACAGGAACTTTCCTGTTCTTCATGGGGTGCTGGGGTTGGGAAGATAGAATATGAATCAAGAGGAGAGTTGGGAGTTGGGTTTGATAGAATGGAGGAAAGAAAGAACCTAAAGTAGAAGACACTGGTATTTGTCAAGTGGGGACCCCCCACCCTGAGTCCCTTTCACCCTGGGGGCAGTGTCGTTCGTCCTGTCCAGAATGGCAGCCTGTGGAGGCACCTGCAAGAACAAAGTGACTGTCTCCAAGCCTGTGTGGGACTTCCTGAGCAAGGAGACCCCAGCGCGGCTGGCCCGGCTTCGGGAGGAGCACCGTGTGTCCATCCTCATAGACGGGGAGACTTCTGACATCTATGTTCTCCAGCTTTCCCCACAGGGCCCACCCCCAGCCCCTCCCAATGGGCTCTACCTGGCCCGGAAAGCTCTAAAGGGGCTGCTGAAAGAGGCAGAGAAAGAGTTGAAGAAAGCTCAGAGGCAGGGGGAGCTTATGGGCTGCCTGGCTTTGGGGGGTGGTGGGGAGCACCCTGAGCTGCACCGTCCTGGCCCACCCCCACTGCGAGCAGCCCCACTCCTGCCCCCAGGGCCTCGGGGGATTCCCCCTCCTCCTCCCCCACTCCCTCCCCCTCTCCCTCCCCGCCTTCGGGAGGAGACAGAAGAGCAGGAAAGCACCTGCCCCATCTGCCTGGGGGAGATCCAGAATGCCAAGACATTGGAGAAGTGCCGGCACTCATTCTGTGAGGGCTGCATCACCCGGGCCCTGCAAGTGAAAAAGGCCTGCCCCATGTGTGGCCGCTTCTATGGGCAGCTCGTAGGCAACCAGCCCCAGAATGGGCGGATGCTGGTCTCTAAGGATGCCACCCTACTACTGCCCAGCTACGAGAAGTACGGCACCATTGTCATCCAGTACGTCTTCCCGCCCGGTGTCCAGGGGGTAAGACCACAGCCTGCCCTCACACTTTGGTTTTTCCCAAGCTTGTGCTAGAACCTAGAAAGCCTGCCTGAGGGTGAGTATGTTTGTTAGATGTGATACAACCTAGTTGTTTCCCAGTATGTCCTCCTACTCCTGCCTTAGAGCTAGGAAGTACCTTTGAGACCCAGCTTTTCAATCCCCATGACCCCAAGAATAAAAATAAGATAGGAAGAAAGGAAATATTTGGTGGGTAAAGTTGGATGTTGACAAATAATCCAGATAGGGGTGAGTTTTGTAGTGTTCTGGCTCAAGTGCAAGCAGGCCCAGCAAGGAGAAATCTGATCATCCTAACAGACCTCCCCACTGAAAGTGTTTACTCTGTTTTCAATGTACAATTTATGAGACTAAAACCTTAATGACAGTGAAAGGTAAAAACAAATGATGGTCGAAGGCGAGCACTGGCAAGGTGCCATTCTGCCTGGACAAAGAAAGTAGTCATGTCCAATTCTAGTTTGCAGAAGAGGGAGTATAAAAAAAACTAAAATGGGTTAGACAGTGGGAAGAAGCATCAGGTAACAAAGGCTGAAAGAGAAATAACTCAAAATCTTCACATTTCTCCCAAGTTATCTGGAGAGTGGGCCCAGCTGCCCTTGATGACTTCCTGAGAATCTATTTGGAGCTAAACTGGGACTTGAGGGATTGAGACTTGCAGAATCTCTTAAAAATAAGGATTAAGTCCAGAAACAGGCCCCTATTGCCCACGTCCCAGAGTTGTTCCTTCTCTGAAAAACTGTCAGCCTGTTGCTTCCCTGTCAGCATTAGATGGGGCTGCAGTCAGCTGGTGAGGATGACACTCTGTTGGCTTTGTAGGCCCTAGGATTCCAGTTGCTCACTGCCTGCTCTGCTTCCCCTTCCTCTCAGGCTGAACACCCAAATCCAGGCGTTCGGTATCCTGGCACCACACGGGTGGCCTACCTCCCTGACTGCCCTGAGGGCAACAAGGTGCTGACCCTGTTCCGAAAGGCATTTGACCAGCGTCTCACCTTCACTATCGGCACGTCCATGACCACAGGGAGACCGAATGTCATCACCTGGAACGATATCCACCACAAGACCAGCTGCACAGGGGGACCCCAGCTGTGCGACACCCCTTAATTTGTCTTCTTTAAGCCCCACCCTCCCCTTGACCCATCTCCATTGAGGGAACATCCTCCTCATTCTGCGTAGCCTCATAACTGGAGAAAACCACTTCGTAAATTGTTAACCGTCTCTCCAATTCCAGTTTCTCTTATATTCCACCTAGTCTTATATGCCCAGCTTAATCTGCAAAAATAAGTAGATTTGGACTAAATTATTTTGGGATTAGAGGTTCCCTCCACCCAAAAGGTGATGGGGGGAAAAAGAAATGGGGAAGAGTCTGAATGAGGTCTCCATTGAGTCACATGCAATAAGGTTAAACATGGGTAGGATAATATGAGTAAGCTCCAACACCTAACCTTGACCTTTTTTTCTTTCTGCTCTCAGGTTTGGGTACCCAGACCCCACCTACTTGACCCGAGTACAAGAGGAACTGAGAGCCAAGGGTATCACAGATGATTGAAGGACATCCTCTTTGCCAAGGCCCCTGCGTTGTCCTTCACTAGGACCTAATGGAAGCCTCTGTTCTTCTCTCTTCCCCTGCCTCCCACACCATACTAGTAGGGGACCTGTCTGAGTAGGAAGGGAGTTCAGAGGGGGAAGTGGCAATCCTTCCCCTGTTCCCCACAAGCCAAGTGCTTTAGTGCAGTGTGAGCCACTCCCTCCTGGCAGAGGCTGATCTCTAAGGCTCTGCTCAAAGCCTCCCACCCCATGTACATACTGCCAGCTTCCCTGCCCAATCCGATCCGTTGCCCTTGGCTTTTTCTGGTATGTGCTGTGCTCCAGTGACAAAGCTGAGAAAGGAGGACCTGAGTGGGGAGGGGTGGATCTCGAGATCTCCACCTATGAACTTCGTGTTGGGGAGTGGAAACCAGCTAATGCAAGCCCCACTGAGCCGACTGTGTGTGTTCATCAGATACAATTTCTCCTTCTACCTTAGCCTTGTCCTTTCTCTGTGTCTCTGTCTCTGTCAATCTGTCTTTCTCCTGCTCTCCTCTGCCCCCTATAAGGAGCCTCCTTACCCTGTTCTGGAATCATCGCCAGACTGTAGCTTTTAATTTAATAAAAATAAAGTAAAATATGCAACTCTATGCCACGCCTGCTCTGTTTTGTGGACCTGGGTAGTTGGGGTGGGGAGAAGGCCTGCTGCAACAAGAACAGGGGTGATAGAGAAATCTGTGTCCCTTTCCAGTGCTTTTGCCTCTTGAAGGCCTGAGAAGATGGGTTTGTGCACAGCTCAGTAGATGGGCTCAGTAATAACAACAAAGCCCTAGGTCATGCTCCAGCCTTGGAAGCAGGGTTAAAAGGGGTTGGTTTGTTGTTGAACTATGGTTGTAAGGAAGGGAACAATCCTACCCCTCTTGGCGAAGTTTGGCTGGGGTGGGAGTGGGGCGGAGTCGGGCAGGGGGGCGGATTCTGCAGCAGCAACTCCCCGGACGCACGCACTCCTCGCAGCCCCCTCCAGCTTCCGTGCCCCCTCAGCTCTGGAACTTGGGGCAAAGTAGGGGTCCAGCATGAAGCCCCCAGACCGCCCCGCCCCTGGCCGCACTGACCGGATACTGGGGGTCATGGGGGGCATGCTCCGCGCATGCGCCCTACCCGGGCAAGATGGGGTAAGAAATGAGAACCGCGAGTGGGTCGGGGGTCTTTAAAGGCTTGCTTTCTGGCTTCACCCTAAAAACCCAGTTTACCCACAAATAGGAGTTCTGTGAGGAAGTTGAAAGAATCGGTGAATTCCTTTACATGGGCCATAGCCATGTTCTGGGTCAAGTGCTCCCTCTATCCCAGCCTTTGGCGACCCTTTCAAAACAATGTGGGTTTTGACAGAAGAGAGAAAAGGAAGCTGGGAGTTCAGCTGGGAGCCCGGGTAGCATTTTACGGTCCTTCTGTCCCTTGTAGCCCGCGAAGAGAAGTCCCCTAGAGCCAGGGGCTAGTGAACCAGAATCTGATCCTACCGAGGGGGATCAGAGAGAGAAGCGCGAGCAGGAAGCCCCAGTCTGGGCACCACTGCCTGGTAAGAAACAGGGGTAGGGTGGGGCACAGTTGGCCATCCTGTGCAAAGTAGCGAATTAAAAAATATTCTCCTCTTATTAGCATAAGAATTGACATCTAATTTGCATGCGATCCATTTAATCGCAGAGCCCTCCTTGCTTCTTCTTGCCCTTCTAGTCCGATGCGTGTCCCCCCACCCAGCCGGTCCCGCGCCCCACCCCTGGCCCCTCGCCAGCCCGGGCTCCAGGACTTCGCCTTAATTGGTGATTAGCTTCAGCTGGAGTCCCGGGGCCTGGAGGGAAGAAGGGTCCGCCGCGAGGGCGGCACCGGGGTTGTGTTTCCCCCGCAAAGAACTCCCCACACTTGCTGCCCCTACCTAGGGGACTCAGTCCGCCTCCGCCAGACTAGGGACGGCCCCAGCCCCAGGACATTTTAGCACAGGCCAAGACTCCATCCCCTGGACCCTTCTCCGCTGCAGCAACCCAGGGGAGACCCGGGTTAACCCCCTGCCCCAGCGCTCCGCAGTCAGAGCCCTAGATGCAGGAGGGAGGGTGACCCAGGCGGGGGAGCGCAGGCGCTGGAGACGTGGAGTGGGAACGTGGTGATGCTTGGGGGAGGGGGGGATTGGGGCGGGAACCCCGCACCAGCTGGCGGGGGAACGAGTGGGAGAGGGCGGAGCCGGCTGCGGAGGGCCCACCCCGCGGCGGCACCGCGGCCCGGCCTGTTATTCCGATAGCCGTTCGGCCAGGACCCGCGCAGCGCCAGTGGCTCCGCGAGTCGGCCCCCGCCTCCACCCTCGCTCAAGCTTAGAGCCACCCCCAGCCTGAGAAGCCAGAGACGGAGCTGGAGCGGCTGCCTCATCCCGGCCCAGCTTCCCCCAGCATCCCTTTCCCCAGCTGGACATCTGGACTCTGGGCCCCGCACCGGCAGGGTTCCGGAAACCCTCCCCGCCCAGCTCGGCGGGCTGGGCCCCGCGCCACCCTCCTTCCAGAGCCCCCCGCCCTTCTCCAGACCAGACTTCCGCCCACCCCTGGACACCCCCTCTCTGTTCCCTCCCTCCCCTTCTTCCCAAGCCTGGACCGGGGTAGGAGGGAGGGGGGGTGTGCGCCTTGCGCCGTCCCCGCCCCGCCCCCCGTGATTCCCCCTGCATGGCCGGCCCGGGTGGGGGACGCGGGGGGCCCCGGGCGCCATGCGGGGGGGGCACAAGGGGGGTCGCTGTGCCTGTCCCCATGTGATCCGAAAAGTGCTGGCAAAATGCGGCTGCTGCTTCTCCAGGGGGGGACGTGGTGAGTGTGAGGGTGGTGAGTGCGAGGTCGGAGGGGCCCAGTGTTGAATGAAGGGCGGGCTGGGGGTTCAGATTCGCCCTAGCCCTAGGGATTTAAGGGCTAGAGATTATGCGTGCATTTTCCAGGAAATTGACATAATAGACTATCTCTAAGGTTCCTTCTGCCATCAAATTTGTTAATTCGAGTTAAGAAAATGGGGGAAGGGACATCTCTTCACCATAGTCAACTGGGTATGAGAAAAATTCCCCAAGCCACTTAGGCCTAGAACTTTCCTCAAAATCCTTTTGCCAACTTCCGCTCTAAAGAACAAAGCATGAGGACCAGAGGATCTACAAGGGATGTTATAGTGATTAGCAGTTCCTCTGTCCCAGAGTCCAGATCAGAGATAATTTTGATGAGCTATCTTCACTTCTGTGGGATTTTTGCATGCATTGAGGAGGGGGACTACAGAAACCTTTTCTTTTTATAGTGATTACTGCAGTTGGTGGAGGAGGGGTCTGGGGGTGGCAGATGGACTCAGCTTTTTCCTGCCCCCTTTTTCCCAGAGAATGGTCTGTACTCATTGGTGGGGGAGGGTTGTGGGAGAGCAGATGGCCACCCTAGTGCCTGCCCAGATGGCTGCCCCCACCCCCATAGATGTGCTGTGCTCAAAATATGGGGGAACCTCCACATGTACCTGGCACTTCCAGCTGGGAGAGCCAGGTGTTTACTGCTCTTCCTCTGAAGAGTGCCTTGGTGCCATTTTCTATTTTGACCAACTCACCAATAGTGAGACCTGGAGGAGAGGGGATGCGTATTGTTGGGTGGAGCTCTTGGGAACTCCTTGAGGACCTTGAGTCTGGAGTTAGACCAATGTTGGTATCTTTTATTCTCTTCCCTTTTCTTCCCAACCAGAATCCTATTCTATTGCTGGCAGTGAGGGGAGTATCTCAGCTTCTGCTGCCTCGGGTCTGGCTGCTCTCTCTGGCCCCAGCTCTGGCCTCAACTCTGGCCCCTGTTCCCCGGGCCCCCCAGGGTCTGTCAGTGGCCTAAGGAGATGGTTGGAGCATTCTAAACATTGTCTCAGTGTGGAAACTGAGGCAGATGGTGGTCAGGCAGGACCGTATGAGGTGAGCAAGCTTTACCCTGAGAGCACGAAAATAGAGAGAGACTGGGAAAAAGGAAAAGTTGGATCCACTGGTCACTGGGGAAACCTGACTTCTGTCTCTGACCCCTCCCTGATCCCCAGAACTGGACACTGGAGCCCGCTCTAGCCACAGGAGAGGAGCTTCCAGAGCTGACCCTGCTGACTACGTTGTTAGAGAGTCCTGGAGCTAAGACTCAGGTGTGAAGAAATTAATCAGGGAGGCTCCCCTCACATACGAGGCATTCCTTTGCTTACCCTAGGATACTCTTATTTCCAGCAAGCTGATGAGGAGACTGCTTCCCAGGCTCCCGAGAGTGAGGAAGAACAGAAAAAGAAGGCTCTGGAAAGGAGTATGTGAGTGCTTTCTCTTCCCATTGCACAGTTTCCAGAAGGCTCTCCTTCACACTTTAGACTTGGAATGGGGGATCCCTTCTGAGGTTGACTCCATGGTGGTAAAGGAAGAAGAGGGATTTCTAATCTGTGTGGGAGGAACTGGACAAATTGAGGATGTGCTGAGATTCTGAAGTAAGAGTGCTCTTCTGTTCCTTTTATAGGTATGTCCTGAGTGAACTGGTGGAGACAGAGAAAATGTATGTGGACGATTTGGGGCAGGTTGTGGAGGTAGCTGCCATTCCCTTTTCCAGCCCTGGCCCACTTGCCCCTGCCCTCTGCCCAAGAGATGCTTTGGTACTCCTCTGTCCCCTCCTCCCAGGAACCCTTCTCCTTAACCCATCCTGAGTTTTCTTCTTGAAAAGGCATTCACCTCCAGGAATGGCCTCACATATTACCACTCTAATCTTCTCACAGGGTTATATGGCCACCATGGCTGATCGAGGGGTCCCCGAGAGTCTTAGAGGCCGTGACAGGATTGTGTTTGGAAACATCCAGCAAATCTATGAGTGGCACAGAGAGTGAGTCATGGTGGTACCCTGAGAGTGGAGGGCTAGCGAGAAGTCCACTTCTGGCTGGTCTTCTGGATGGTATGACAGTGGGGGGCTAGAGGAAAGGTACACATCTGGTCATCTGGTTGGAATCACAGCCAGGAGCCCATGGTGGTCTAAGGTGTAACTGAAAGCAGAAGAGGGAACATTTGGAGGGGTATGACATGAAACACTGCTAGTACAGCCACCTTGTCATGGAGTGTGTATGAGGGGACAGTTCTAAAATGTATTTGACCTCCCTTTCCCCTGCCAATCTCTCCAGCTATTTCCTGCAGGAGCTACAGAAGTGTTTGAAGGATCCTGATTGGCTTGCTCAACTGTTCATCAAACATGTGAGTCTGGAAGGGTAGGACTACAAGTATTGTGGTTTGGGAGTGGGTCTGGGCCCTCTGGAGCTGTGCCTAATCCCCTTGCCCTTCCTCTCTCACACTTTCTGTGCCTTCTTAAGGAGCGTCGGTTGCACATGTATGTGGTATACTGTCAGAACAAGCCCAAATCAGAGCACGTGGTGTCAGAGTTTGGGGATAGCTACTTTGAGGTGAGTGGCTGAGGTTATGTGGGGAGGAGGGACAGAATCAGCAGGCATAGGCTTCCAGGCTGCGTAATCACACTCTCCCTTGTCTCCAGGAGCTTCGGCAACAGCTGGGGCACCGCCTGCAGCTCAACGACCTCCTCATCAAACCCGTGCAGAGGATCATGAAATATCAGCTGCTGCTCAAGGTCAGGACCACTTTCTCCTGGGGTGGCACAGCTGCCTGGGACAGCCCTGGCCTCATTTATCTCCTTAGGGCTCCTAAGTGCCCCCAGACCTCCTGGGGGTGTCTCCATTTGTGTTCTCAGGGGGAGGATGGAAGAGCATCTGAGGATGTCCTCGTGACCTCCCTGAGCATTTCTTCTCCACGTCTTAGGATTTTCTCAAGTATTATAGCAGAGCTGGGATGGACACTGAAGATCTGGAGGTGAGGACCTCTGGAACTTCAGAACACACTGTGACCACCTTATTGTCTTAGCCTGTGTGTTCTTTTAGCCCTTTGAGTGGTTTTGAGTGGTGTTGGCTTTTAGGGGAGGCTGGTTGGTGTTAAGAAAAGGCTGTTGACTTAGGAGGCCTCTCTCCTTACAATGATGAAGCTCCTCTCTTTCTCTGCAAACCAGCGAGCTGTGGAGGTCATGTGCTTCGTGCCCAAGCGCTGCAATGACATGATGACTCTAGGGAGACTTCGGGGCTTTGAGGTATGAGGTGGGACAGGAAACTGGAGGCCTGGTGCTCTAGTCTGTATTCTGAAGTTTTGTGGGGAATTGGCTTCTCCTAAAGCTGACCCCATGACTGCTTGGAAGTGTCAGGGAGAGAAGGAGAGAGGAGCAGAGATTTGTCCTTTTTTTCCTTCCCCCTTTCTTAAAGACTGTTGTCTTTGGTTTTAGGGCAAATTGACTGCTCAGGGAAAGCTCTTGGGTCAGGACACGTTCTTAGTCACAGAGCCAGAGGCTGGGGGGCTGCTCGCTTCCCGGGGGCGAGAGAGACGTGTCTTTCTCTTTGAGCAAATAGTCATTTTCAGCGAAGCCCTGGGCGGAGGAGTACGAGGTGGAACGCAGCCCGGATATGTGTATAAGAGCAGCATCAAGGTGAGGAGGGCATCAGAGGGCTTAGCATGTGGTTAGACCTCAGTGAGGCTGTCTCGCTTCTTCAGAGAAGGTTCTGGAGGCCATCTCCTATTTGCTAATTCAGGTTAGCTGCCTCGGATTAGAAGGGAACCTTCAAGGTGACACTTGCCGCTTTGCACTGACCTCCAGAGGGCCAGAGGGTGGGATCCAACGCTATGTCCTGCAGGCCACAGACCCAGCAGTCAGCCAGGCCTGGATCAAGCAAGTGGCCCAGATCCTGGAGAGCCAACGAGACTTCCTCAACGGTAAGGTTCATTCGTTCATCTTCCCTCTCCATCAAGCCCCTTTACCCTTGGATCTCCTGAATCCCTTTCACTCCCCAATTTCCAATCCCTGCCCTCTGATCCTGACACTTCTTGTACTCTTATCCTCACTTTTCTGACTGCCAGCTCAAAATTTAATAACTCCAAATCCTCTAAAGCCACAAACAATTTCTGTTGACTGATAATCCCTGGAGGTGGGCAAAATGGGAGAGTGATGGGAGTAGAGCCCTTAGGGAGGGGCTGCCAATTCTCTGACCCTCTCTGATCCTTTCTTTGTCTCAGCCTTGCAGTCGCCCATTGAATACCAGAGACGGGAAAGCCAGACCAATAGCCTAGGGCGGCCAGGAGGGCCCGGAGTGGGGAGCCCTGGGAGACTTAGGCCTGGAGACCGGGCCCAGGCCAGGACACACACCCCTATCAATGGTTCTCTTCCCTCCCTGCTGCTGTTGCCTGAAAGGGAGGTGGTCAGAGCCCCTCTGCCCCTGGACTCACAGGTATGAGAAATGGTTTAGGGTCACAGTGGGGAGGGCCTCTCTTAGTCTGAGATCTCCAAGTCCCCCTTCTTCATATCATTCCTTTCTTCCACCACCTTCCTTTTATCTGGTCATTCCGAATTCCTATCTCTTACCCTCTCTCTCCAATTTATCCTGGGAAAAGTTACTGCTGTCAGAGAATCTAAGTTATCTGGAAGAGAAAGAGACCAAACTGGGGGTATATATGGAAAAGAGAAAGTGAAGGTGGATTTCTGATCTTTTATGATCCCCTGACTTTTGTCTTTTTTCAGACCCCCGGTGATATCCCCCAGGCTCCTCGTGATTCACCTCCAGTCCCTCCAATTCTGAACACCCCTCCCTGCCAGGCCAGACTTGCCAAGCTGGATGAAGATGAGCTGTAACTTAGAACTGGTGAAGGCCATGAGGGTGGTGCTGACTCACCCCCTCTATTCCTGAAGGAACTTTGGGATAACCCCTCTGGCACCACCCTGGAATTCCTCCCCTCTTGGAATATCTGGAGGGTGGGCAAGGCTGGGGGTGGTCTCACCTTGGAGAAAGGTAGCTACACCCAAAAGGACTTCTTTCTGCCCAAGGAGCACAGGTTTCTTCCATTCTCACCCCTAGCATGCATCACAAATCCCCTCAAAAGGAGGATATGTGGGTGGATGGGAGGGCTGAAGCACGGGCCAGATAGAAATTACTGATTTTGGTTTTGATCTTGTTTTTCTGTTTTCTGCGAATAAAGGTTTTGTTATATCACCAAGGTTGCTGACTTGGCACAGGGAAGGGGAGGCAGTAGTGGGGTACATAGGGTAAAGAGGAGAGGTCTGGAGAGCTATGCAGGGTGTAAGTTCCTCACCTGCAGCTTCAGCATCACTCAGTTCAGTCTTGGAGCCAATGAAGAACCTTAGATCCTTAGCATATCTTCCTCTTAACCCAGCCCTTGGTTTATTCCTGTCCACACTCAATTCTAAATCCCACAGGAAAGCCCTGTAGTGTGGTTTGACTTCCCCCCATCCCCTAATGCCCAGATATTAATGCACAGAGTGCCCAGTGTACCTTTCTTTCTGAAGTCTCTATGTTCAGCTGAGGGAAATTGGGAAGGTGAAGAAGATCCTTTCTGTGGTTCCTTCTCGCGCCTGGAACTGCCCCCCCCCCCCCATGGCCTTCTTGTCTTTGCTGTCTGAGACACCGTAAGGCAGGGCCAGATCAGACTCTTTTCAGGGTATGGACCTGAGAGTGGAGAGCCCAAAAGGGTCTTCTCTAATCCCAGCTTCTGAGACGGCCCCTGAAACAGAGAGAGCCAAACCTGCAGAGGTCCATGTCCAAATTGCCTGTGCTGGGTCCTTCACCATCCATGTGTCTGCTGTGTCCATCTACCTCCTGGGCTTGGTCACATGTACTTGAGCTTCCTCAGAAGACAATGGACTGCTGGGGTGGGAGGGTGAGGAAGAACTGGAGCTTCCCTCTGGACCCAAAGCCCCTCAGGCCCACAATGAGGGGAGGGATCTCTAGAGGGGGGACAGGACGTTATGCCCTGATAAGACTTCTGGGGAACAATGGGAGGAATTGAGAGAAGCAACCGCCCTCACCACACCCCACCCCCTGGGCATTGGGGGTCAGAGACTGGGGAGTCAGAGGGTGCTGGGTAGTGATGGGGGGTCACCAAATAGCTGGATTCTGGAGCTCAGAACCTTTGTATTTCTTTGGGGAGCCCTGGGGTAGATGAAGTAGGTAGGTGGCTCCTTTGTACTTAATTGAACCACAAATTTCTTTGTGAATTGCACTTGAATGTAAAAAATGTTTCTGGGGTGCTTTTAGCTCTTAAGAAGTGAAATAAAAATTCCCTATCATTTCAGCATTCCCCCCTTGAAGCCCAGCACAGGCCCAGTCACTCCCAGCTGAGACTGGGGGAAGGAAGGGTATATGTGTGCAGAAGGTAGATAATCGGTTATTGTCCCTGCCCAATACATGTTTTCTATCTTAAGATTTGTAAAACCACTGACTCCAACATACTGTGTCCTTATACTTTCCTGGTGACAGCGGTACCCTGTGAGGTTTGAGGTGGGGTAGAGGAACCTATTGAACTTCCTTGATTTCTTTCTAGTAAACAATATATTTAGGAAAAAACCAGTGACCCCTGAAGAGCCAGATGCTGGGCCCACCCAAAGTACAGAGGAAGGGAAAAAGAGAAGAGAAGGGAGTCAAAGAGCTTGGTGGTAAATAGCTGGCGTTGGGTGTTGAGGGTGGGGGAACATGGACCTTTTTTCCTAGCTCCTGTCTTCCACAGACACATCTCTATTATCTGCAGAGTTAGCTAGAGATTCTGTCAAGGCCAAGAGGATTGGAGGAAACAATTAACATAGAAAATTTCCCTTGCCAAGTGGAAACTCTCACCTGACCTGCGAAGGCCCCCAAGGCAGGACTCCCTCTGGGAGCTTAGTGGAGGCGTGGCCCAGGGCTAGCGGGTGGAGGAGTATTTAAAGACCAAGAGGAGTTGGCGTGGCCAGAACAGAATGAGTGGGCTCTTGAGCGCCAGGAACTGCCCAGGCCAAGGAGAGGTCTCTGGCTTTAGGTCTCCTTTGGACATCGGATTCAGGAAACCTCTCACGGAGGCTCAGTTCCAGCAACTCTTCGGGGATGCGAAGGAGGAACGGGAGCTGCCTGAGGAGCCCTACTTGTTGGGGCCGCTCAGGCGGTGGAGGCGGTGGGTTCCAGCCTGCTCAGGGTCGGGGGCGTGGCGCCTGCTCCAGGAGCGGTTACCCCCGCTGTACTGGCTGCCCCGCTATCGCTGGCGGGCCTGGCTGCTTGGGGATGCCATGGCTGGAGTGACCGTGGGTATCGTGCACGTGCCTCAGGGTGAGCGGGCTCCACAGCTTGACAGGTTCGCGGGGAGGGCGCCGGAGCGGGGAAATTGGCAACGGCATGGTGGGTTAATGTCGCTGAGGATTTGGGGACAGGGAGCTGAAATCCAGCTTTGGCTAAGGTCTAAGGAGCTGGCCTCTTTGCCTCAGTCATGCCCTCACCCCCACCCCTGCACAATCCCTCCCGCCACACAATCCTACAAGAAGTCTGTAACTTGTTCCAGCTCAAGGAACTGGAGAGGCATGATGCCTGCCTCCCCCGACCCCCCTGCCCCTGCCCCCCAGGACTCTAGCAGACACGGATCTGTGCCCTTCTCCGCCCCACGACCTCTCATCAAGGTCCATTAACCCTTCAATTCCCTCTTGTGACAGGTTTTACCATGCCCCATTTCAGCCTTTTCAGTGTGGTGAAGGACAAGATCCTGAATGTTTAATGCCACTGCACCTACACATGGCAGATCTTTTCTTCCGCTTCTCCCCAGGCATGGCTTTTGCTCTTCTGTCTTCTGTGCCCCCTGTGTTTGGACTCTACACTTCTTTCTTTCCAGTCCTCATCTACACTTTGCTGGGTACCGGGAGACACCTGTCAACAGGTGAGTGACTTCCAGAAACTGCTCGCCCTCTCTGAAGTGAAATTGAACAAGGTTTTGAGGTTTACTTTATTATAAGCTTTCTGGTTTATTCGCTTTTCCACCTCTCCCAGCATCTCACTGTTGAGACCTTCTAACGTGGGCACTGCTCATTGGGATTGCTGAGTAGCAGAGAGGAAGTGTTTACTCAAACTTTTTCTCTCCAGGATTATTATTTTTTTTTTTTTAAACCTAGGGCTTGGGAGGGAGAGAAGTTGAGTGGTCACTTAAAGGAGCATGCAGCTCTCAGGGAGTCCGCGGGAATGGGCATTAATGCCCTGTTTTGTTTTGTTTTTTTTTTTAGAGAGAGAGAGTGTGTGTGTGTGTGTGTGTGTGTGTGTGTGTACACACGGTCAAATCGGATCTGACGGTACAGGAGGAAATTGCCCCTCCCTCTCCAGCAGAGCATCTGGTGGGTTCGAACCTCGTGCCTCTGGGATTGCAGTGCAGTTTCTTGCTACCAGAGCTCCCTCTGTAGAGTAATTTTTCACAGCTGATGTGATCAGTCCCATTTCTTGCTACCTGCCTGCAGCTGCACAGGGTCACATCTCCATGGTTTTGGCCTCAGGGGCAACCTTCCTAGGCAAGTGTCTCTGATGGCAGCACTGGCCCTAGAGCCCAGAGCCTTGGCAGTGGCTGTGCCCCAGACGCACAGCTGATGGTCTCTTCTTTTTGCCCTCCAGGAACGTTTGCTGTACTCAGTCTCATGACAGGCTCGGCAGTGGAGCAACTAGTGCCCGACTCCCCTGGGGGGAATCTGAGCGCAATGGAGAGAGAGCAGCTGGACGCGCAGAGAGTTGGGGCGGCCGCAGCTTTGGCCTTTGGGAGTGGGGTGCTGATGGTGAGGGTAGGGCCCTGAGGGATCCACGTTGGGGGCCTGGGGCGAGAGGGTCACATCTTGGGCGGCGTATGTCCTAGGAGGCGAGGTGCGCAGTGAAGCTAGCGCATTGCGCTCAACTGGTCGGCGTCTCTGCATGCTGGCGATAGTGCATCTTCTCGGCCGCAGGTGGGGATGTTCGCGCTGCAGCTCGGCGTCCTGTCCACCTTCTTGTCCGAGCCTGTGGTCAAAGCGCTGACCAGCGGGGCCGCGCTGCACGTACTCGTGTCCCAGCTGCCAAGCCTTTTGGGATTGTCCCTCCCACGCCAGATCGGCTGCTTCACTCTCTTCAAGGTGGAGGTGGAAGGACTGAAGGACGAGGCGGAGGTGGGGGGTGGGAGAAGAAGGCTTCCAGGGGCCCTGGGGAAGATGGAAACCTGAATAGGGAGACCGGTAGGTGCATGGGGGAGGAGAGGGTTACCCGGCTGGACAAGGGCGTTTGAACCACAAGATGGAAGGCAAGCCTGGAGAAAGGGTCTTGCCTTGGTCCACTGCCTAGCTGGGACGTTGGGGGACGGTCGACCAGGACGCGCACTTTGCTCACCACCCCTGCCCGCAGACGCTGGCCGTCGTGCTGACGGCGCTGCCGCGGAGCAGCCCCGCGGAACTGACCATTTCGGCCCTCAGTCTGGCGCTGCTAGTGCCCGTAAAGGAATTGAACGTGAGATTCCGAGACAGGCTGCCCACCCCGATCCCAGGGGAAGTCGTCATGGTGAGGACGGGTTCGGGGGGTCGGCCCCCTGCCTGGCACAAGCCCGGCCTACCCTCTAGCATCGGGCTCCAAAGGTCTTTGTGGGCTCGCTGCTGCCCCCTCGTGGCCATTGAGGGGCTACAGTTAGGAGGGTTGGGTTTTTTGTTTTTTTTTTTAATTTGAGAATTTCCATTCTCCCTTCCCCCCGCCCCCCTTTATGTATACCGTCGAATCGGATCCCGGATCTGACTGGTACAGGAGGAGCTTGACCCTCCTTCTCCAGCGGAACATCTGGTGGATTCGAACTGCGTGCCTTCGGAATTGCCGCGCAGCTTCTTACCACTAGACTTCCTCAGTTAGGAGTTCTTAAACGCATTTCCAGGACATCTCTCAGAAACCTTGGGTCTACAATGATCCTCTGAGACTTCCGCCCCATGCTTCTTTACTCCTCTTAAAAGTCCCCCATTTAAACCTTTAACCATACCTACTGGATTCCTTTCGGTCTTGCTCGCACAGCGCTTCCTTTCACACCTCCCTTTTCACTGCTGTACTCTTGCAACCTACACTTCTCTCTTTTCTGAACCAAGTGCTTGTTTTGAGTCTCTACCCGTACCCCATACGGGGCTCGCTCCGGTGGCTTAGTAGTAAGGAATTGAGAAGCCTACTCAGTTCAAATCCACTTGCAGCTCCGTGGGAGAGAGATGAGCGACCTCTTCTTGTGCAATGTATAGCCTCTGAAACCCCCCCTGGAGGTTCTAACTCCTCTACTGCACACAACAGACAGATATCCAAAGCTCCCTAGTTCTAGCCCAGCATCCCCAGGTATCTATCACCCCTTTTCTGATCCCCATGGCTCAGTACTCAATCACAAACATACTCCAGTTACCTCAGTTGCTGGATTCTTGTGACCATTTCTCATGTTGAACCCCTTCTGGCTTTTTCCTGTGGTCCTCACACCCCCCTCCCCCAGTGCCCTAATTTTCTCTTTCTCAGGTGCTCCTCGCCTCAGTGCTTTGCTTCACTTCTTCCCTGGATACAAAATACAATGTCCAGATAGTGGGGGTGCTGCCTGGAGGGTAAGAGACTAAAAAGATGGCAATTTTCTCTTCCTGCCCCTTTCCTGGTAATCCAAGCCTTTCTCGATCTCTTCTCTTCTTGCCCAACTCTAATTTCTTTGCATCCCCTAATCTCAGTAACACCCAAGCTAGCCTCAGTCATGGATCTCTTCTTCAGATTCCCTCAGCCCATCTTCCCCAGTCTGACTGAACTGCCCAGGATCCTTGCTGATTCACTGCCCATTGCATTGGTGACTTTTGCTGTGTCCACCTCCCTGGCCTCCATCTATGCAGACAAGTATAGCTACACTATTGACTCTAACCAGGTATGATTCTGCCTGTGGACCCCCTATAAATCCAGGAGACGACCCCTAATCTGACCTCCCTCCCTGCCTTTGTATCTCTGCCCATCATCTCACTGATCTTTCCAGGAGCTCTTGGCGCACGGTGTCTCCAACCTTGTCTCCTCCCTCTTCTCTTGCTTTCCCAACTCAGCCACGTTGGCAACAACCAGCCTACTAGTGGATGCTGGTGGGAATACACAGGTAAGAGGGCACCTTTGGATAAGAAAGGGGAGAGGCATCCAGGTTAGGGTGAAGACACAGGTGGGAGATTAGTAAAGACATTTAGGAGGGCATTTAGCTAGAACATGTAATCTGTGAGGTCAGTGCATGAGGGAATGTGACTAGGCAAGAGAAAAGATAACCCAAACAAAACTTCACTGCTGTCAAATCAATTCCTACTCAAAGCGACTCCATTGGGTTTCCAAGGTTCTTCAAATCATTATGGAAGGAGATTGCCCACCTTTCTCCTCAGAGCGGCTGGTGTAAACAAACCAATATAAAATAAAAGTTAAAAAAAAAGATAACAGTAAGGTCAGAAGATCCCCACGAACCACTCCTGGAGAAAAAAAAATCTATCAATCTACTCCTTTAAAGATCATAGCCTAGAAAACCCTGTGATGAGTTCTACTCCATCCACTATGAGTTGAAATCAACTCAATAGCAAACAACAAGAAGTCCTGGGTGATTCAAACAGTTATGTGTCCAATTGTAGTTGTTAGGTGCCTTCAAGTAATTTCCACCTCAACCCAAAGTTAGCCATTTAAGAGCAGAACTGCTCCAGAAGATTTTCCAGGCTCTTGTGAATCTTTGTAGGAGCAGATTGCCAGATCTTTCTTTCTTCCTCAGAGTCATTTGTTGTTGCTGTTGTTAGGTGCCATCAAGTGGAGTATAATTCATAACAATCCTTCCTATTATGAACAATCGATCTGAACACTGTCCTATCCCACACCGTCCTCATAATCTCTGCCACACATAAGCCCATTACCACTGTTGTTGTATGTGCCATCGAGTCACCTGTGAGTCATAGTGACCCTATGTAGAACATCTCTGAACTCTGCTCTATCCTAAGCCAATCTTCTTGTCTCTAATACACCTGCCTCTGTTACCCCAGTCACCGAATCAATTCTTCTCATTGAGGGTCTTTCTCTCTTACACTGTCTCTCCACCCTTCCTTTTTCCCCCTTCCCTTTCCTTTTTGCTGACTCCACCCTTCTAAGCATGATGTCCTTCTCCAGGACTGATCCCTCCTTGCAACATGCCCAAAGTATGTAAAACGAAGCTTCCAAATCCTTGCCCTCCAAGGAGCAGCCTGGTTTCACCTTCTCCAGGACAAGCCTGTTTGTTCTCCTAGCACTGGGTGGGTTCAAATCAGTAACATTTTGGTTGGCTGCCAAGTGTATAACTGTTGCAACTTGAGGGCTCCTAAGCATTCAGCTGTTCTCCAAAAGGTTGGAAGTTCAAAGACACCAGAGGATACTCAGAAGACAGACTTTGATATCTTCTTCCAAAAGCTCTCAGCCTTAAAAACCTCTATGTTGTTGTTGTGTATGTACCATCAAATCACAACCAACCCCTAACTGACCCTCTAGCAGGTTTTCAGAGGCAGTTAGTTAGACAGGTCAAATCACACAGTTCATCACATTTCTCTCCCATGAAGCAGCTGGTGGATTCAAACTGTGGACTTCTGGGTTGGCAGCACCAACTCTTTGACTCTAAGCCACTAGAACTCCTTCAGAACCCCAACAACAATTTTCAAACTCAAATTCATGGCAACCAAGACCAATAACAGGCTGTAAGCACTCAGAGAGATTACGGTGACCCAAATATACTTTCAAGTAAAAACAACTGTAAAATAAACTTAAAAGACTGTAAAATAAATTTGAAAGACCAAAATTCTCATTTTCCCCAACTAAGGACTATTGGATATTTAAAAATAAAATAAAATATAGCATTTGAAAAGAAATATTAAAATCTCCCCCTATTTTTGGTTTTTCTTTTTCTTGATGCTCTGAGCATATGTTTAACCTGCCTCTAGGGAAATCTAGAGGTGGTTTGTAGGATGAAGGCAAGCTTCAGCTAAAAGAGAAGCTGACTCCAGGGAGAGACTGACAAAGGACAAGCCTTTAGTTGGTGCAGGGAGGGAAAGGCAGGTGAGGAATATGGTGGGGGGAGGGAGACTTCCAAGGGAGAAGAGGCAGGTATGTAGGCAGGAAGGCTGGCTCTCACTGGAGTGGAGGCAGCCTCCTTTCCTTCCAACCCTCCTTCCCTCCAGCTGGCAGGCCTTTTCTCCTGTGTGGTTGTCTTGTCAGTCCTGCTGTGGCTAGGACCCTTTTTCTACTACCTGCCCAAGGTAAGGGACAGAGGAGGCAGGAGAGTGGCTGGGAGGAAGGCTCTAAACCTGGAAGGCCTTGCAGCAGTCACCCTGCCTGCTCTGCCCCAAGGCTGTCCTGGCATGCATCAACATCTCCAGCATGCGCCAGATGTTCTTCCAGATGCGGGAGCTTCCGCAACTATGGCGCACCAGCCGCATGGACTTTGTGAGAAATGGCAGCAATGTTCCTCCCCACCACCCCTCTGTCTTCCAGCACTCCCAGCCTCTGCCCTGATCAAAGCTGATTGTCCTGGTCCTAAATTCTACAAATCCCTCATACCCCATCACACAACTCTTCCTGGTGCACCTTACTCAGAAATAAATGAAGGGTGGGGTTTGAAGTCCCTCAAACCTATATGTAACCCCTCTCTGGTGCATGGTGTGTATCTCCTGGTGAGCTGATCCTTTCTCTTCTGTCACTCTTTTGTGATCTCCTGACCCCTTCACTACTGACTGGATCCCTTGCTTTGGCTGTGTCTTGGCCCTTTCCTTCTGGGCAATTTCCTCCTCTGTGCCCCACAGGCTGTATGGATGGTCACCTGGGTGTCTGTAGTGGTCCTGAGCGTGGACCTGGGCCTGGCTGTGGGCGTGGTTTTCTCTATGATGACTGTGGTCTGCCGCACCCAGAGGTGGGAGCCTAGCCAAGGGGAGAGGTGAAGCTTTAAGTGACTCCCCTGCAGGGCCAGGCTGGGAGTCTGATGCCGGCCCCCTCCCAGGGTGCAGTGCCTGGCTCTTGGACTAGCTGAAGGAACGGAGCTCTACAGGCCACTTAGAGAAAGCCACAAGGTAGGTAGGGGATACTGCCAGAAAAGGAAGGGAAATTTTGACCTAAACGCTTTTCTAACCTTCTGATCCTTTAGTTCCTCCAGGTCCCAGGGCTCTGCATCCTGAGCTTCCCAACACCTCTCTACTTTGGGACCCGTGGGCAGTTCCATCGCATACTAGAGCAGCATCTGGGACTTGGAGAGAGGGGCGAGGTAGCAAAGAGTGGCGGGTTTGGAGCAGGATCTGCAAGGGATCCATGCCTGTATCTGTGTAACCCTCTATGCTAACTGTCTGACCCTTTCTGCTCCCAGGTGACTCCAAAGCCAGATGGCCTCGCTCATGCAGGTTAGATGGGATGACAAGGGATGATATTTGCACATGATCCATGGAAGCATGTGGGATCCGGGTACACCTGCCTTCTTCCCACCCTAGTTGCTGAGCCTGTCAGAGTGGTGGTTCTTGATTGCAGTGGGATTACCTTTGCAGATGCTGCTGGGGCTAGAGAAGTGGTGCAGGTGAGGGAGAGTAGGGTGGAGACAACATCCATTAATCATCTCACTCAGATTCTTGACTTCATACCTAACTCCTCCCACTCCAACCCCACAGCTGGCCAGCCGATGCCGAGATGCTGGGATCCACCTTCTCCTGGCTCAGTGTAATGGTGAGAGGTGTGGAAGTGGAGGGACCCATTGACCTGGGACTAACTGGACACTTGGGGGAGGTAAGAGGAGATGACATGGACTTGGGAACTAAGCCTGACTGCCTCCCCACTCAGCCTCGGTGTTGGCGACACTGAGCGGGGCAGGACTCCTGGACACAGTGACCCCTGAACAGCTGTTTGTGAGTGTTCAAGATGCAGCTGCTCATGCCTTGGAGAGACTGGTGAGGGGGCAGTGGCAGCAGGAGCCCAGGGCTTACAGGGACAGAGCTGTATCAAGTGAGGTGTGGGTCATGACTGAAGACTCAGGCAGAGGGATCTGGGAAAGACGCTAAGGTTGGAGATCAGGAAAGAAGGAGTGAGGATGAAATAACAAGGCGATTTCAGGGGATGTTGGGCTGAGCTTTGGGTGAAGAACTGAGAAATGAAGATTCCAAAGGGGTAGCAGTGCCCCTCAGAGAACTGCCAAATCTCAGGAGAGGATGAGAGTTGCCTTGTCTAGTCTAACCTACTCCTGACACATCCTGTCTTCTCTAGGAGCTCAGTGGTCCAAAGACTTGCACAGTGTGGGTCTGATCTGAAGAGTGGGCAGCCTCAGTAACATTGTGTGGGGATGTTCATGCCCCCAAGCCCTCTTCATTAATGTGGCTAATAAAGTGAACTGGGAGCCTCTGAGAGCATGCTGTGAACCTGGGTGTCTGCACTCAGACCCTCAGTGCTTTTCCTCCATGCACACAGACAACATTGCAGAGACACAATTGAGAACGGCTTTGACCATTTGTTCACCAGTCCCCACTTCAGCTCAGGCTCATAAATTCTCTCCATAGGAGTGGGGCCAGTGCCTGTGCACAGAGATGGTAGTCCAGAGATGGTAGTGAGTGGCACAGCACTGGGATTACATCGCTGAGGGGGCTTCCCCATCTCCTAGTCCCAAAGAGATGAAAGGAGAGTATTTCTGCTTCAAGTTCTTAGAGTCCCCTTGGGATCTTTGGCACTTGGAAAGCAACAACATCCCACACACATACCCTGCCCCCCTTTTCCTGCCCCATTAGAATGGGGTTGGGGGGCCCTTGGCACTGGCTGTTGGAAAGGGTATGGCTCCATCATGACCATGGGTACTTGAGGAAAGAAGGAGTGTCACCAGGACAAGCCCCTATTTGGGATTAAGTTCTGAAGATAAGGGGTGAGGGACTGGGAGGCCAGAATCAGCCAAGTGGTCACTGTGGAGTGGAGATTGTTGGGAATTCCTGGCAGGGACGAGGAAGCAAGTCCAATCAGCAGGCCCTGGTGCCCATCAGTCCGCAGTCATGCACTGCAGCCGGTGTTTGAAGAAGAGTAGGCGGTGTTTGGTCATGTGACTTTCGTCCAGTGAGCCCGGGTAACGGTAGTGGGCATAAGTCTCTGCCCTGGCGTCCCGTGACACCCAAGGAAGCTTCACTTTGGATGCATGATCCACAACGACATCTGAGCAGGAGCCCACTCGAAGGGAACCAAGCCCATCCAGGAAGAACTCTGGGGGTGGGGGGTGGGTGGGAACAGAATAAGGTCCTTTGGATATAGAAGGCCGACCCTTAAAGGAATGCTTGGGTTGGGCTATGAGGGTCATATGCAGAGTCCCTTTTCAAGAACCTCAGGTTTATGAGGTAACTCCCCAAACTTCAATTTTATGCTTCTGCAAAACTCAGTCTATATAAGTTGCTTTGGGCTTTGAAACCCAAAACCCCCACCCCTATTGCCCTGATGTGGTCAAAAAAACGTCTGTTGGGCTGCTCCAAGTATGGTGTGAAGCAGAGTTGAGGAGGGGTGACAGTGACAGTGGGGAGTTCATGGACCCAGTAGCTGCACTAAGGGTGCAGGCTTTACTGGCCAAGAGGGAAAGGAAAATGCGTCTCCCATAGGAAGTTTTCCAGGCCCTTACACAAGTCTTTGTAAAATTTTTGTATAAGGGTTGTCTAGGACTCTGCGGGGGGTGGGGAGGGGATGGATGTCAGGTGAAGGGGCTCTCATCCGGTGTAGGATGGCTGGGATGGGGCGCCACTCACCCAGGTGGGCAACTCGGCTGAGGCGCGGGTCAAAGCCGACCTCGCGCACCTTGTCCGTTCGCGCCAAGAAGAAGTTGACCACTCCGTCTGTGACCACACAGTCCGAGAATCCAACAAGCTCGTGGTGGAAGCCACGCTTCTGCCGCAAGCAGTTGCCTTGGCCTGGCGCTCCGGGCTCCACGCTCAGCAGCTGCCGGTAGGTGGTGGAGAAGCCTGAGATCTCGCGCACCGCGCCCCCCACCTGCAGGGGGAGTGGAAAAATGGCTGCAGGCGGGGCAGGGGCTGCGATAGGCTTTGACAGGGTGATTCCCCTGCCAGTCCTCTCCCATCATCCCTGCCGACCCCACTTCCTCATCTTCGCTCAGACCCTGGTCCTTTTTCAGCAGAACGCACAGCTGGGCTTGTGCACTTTCACTTGCACTTCCCCTCCTCGTCCCCCTGACGCCCACATCCCTCCGCACCAGATCCAGTGGGGTCCTCTCCAGCACATCCACAAGCTTCTCCAGTCGCGTCCGCGCGGTGAAAACAAAGTCGTCGTCCACCCATAGTACGTACTTGGTGGTCACTTGGGACACGGCCAAGTTCCGGCCTGCAAACCAGCCCTGGAGAAGCGGTTGTGTGATTGAAGGACAGATAACAGGCCCCTCCTTCCCCCTCTCCTCTCTCCTTCCTGACCTCTTTTGACAACCTGAGACCCTTTCCATTCCAAACTTTTGATTTTAGGGATGGAGGGAGCTGAATTTTTTTAAAAAAAGGAAGAAAAGCATTCCTAAGGCTGCTGCCTTGATGGTTGGGGAATGGGCCCGAGATGCATCCATTAATTGATTCACTCATGCATTCATTGATTCGCCAACTATTGAGTATCCACTAGGTGTAACACATTATTACAAGAACGCAACAGGGAATAAGATAGGTACCGCTCTCTAAGAACCAAGTGCCTAGCAGGACGCAGGGACTGGGGACTGAAGCATGCTCCCCCCTCCTGGGAGTAGCCTCTGCCCTGCCCAGACTCCCCAGTTTCACACCTTGCCAAAGGGCATGAGATAGTGCTCTATGTGTGGGCCACTGACACGCTCTGGCTTCTCACTGTCGTCAGCAATGACCACAGTGACTGTTGGGTAGAAACGGCGGATGCTGGTGATGAGAGTCCGGAGCCGATCATAACGCAGGAAGGTCTTGGTGGCGATGGTGACCAGGGCGCTGATGTTGTACTGGGCTGAAGGTGCGAGGTTGGGTGCAAGGAGGCAAAGTAGTGAGGAAAGTGAATTAATACCTGCCTAGGGATGTCCCGCCCACGTTGTCCCCTCCCAGGGTCAGATCTAGATCCCTGACCCCACCAGCCTTACCTCCCTGGGGTAGAGCTCCAGGTGGGTACAACCTTGGGTTGGGAGGGTGTCTAATTCGGATGGTGAAGGCAGCCTCATGTCCCTCAGTGGAGAACCGGACTGTAGAGAAACAACATGGTGAGGTGAAAGGACATAAGGTGGGCTTCTAAGTCTGAGGCAGTATTCTCTAATCAGCCAACCTGTTCTGTGTTTTTTTTCATGTCTTGGTGGACATGTTGCAATGAATTAGAACCATAATCGTACCTCCTACCAAATGACTGAGTGGAGCTATGCAAATGTAGCCCACCAAGGGGACTGAATTACTTGGTAAGAATGTAAATAAGGTGGTATAGTAGGTTGCACTGGGCTATTCAGCAGCTTGCTCAGAGGGAGAAAGAAGAAACAGAAAGATAAGGCAGTTGCTGCTAAGACCTATGGTCCTAGTAACCCATTGGAGGGGGCCATAAGTCTGAAGTGGTTTGCCAGCAGCGAGAATTTTTTGGTTTGGCACTTTTTGTGGGCCCACTGGTAGAGAACATCTGTCAGAGGCCTTGCTGGCAGCCTGGGGTTCCGCTGGGCACCTGGTCAAAGAACTGTATCCCGAGTTGCTTTGGATTCTAAGTTGTAACTTAATACTTTCCCAACAAACTCCACATTATGAATATTTTCTGTGATTTTTGTGTCCATTCCAATGAACTATTGAATCTAGCACAGAGGTAGAGAGTGCTGGTCTGTAAGAGAAAGAACGAAGGGATATGGAAAGTGAAACTTTCGACTTCAGATGCTTACTTTGACTACTACCCGCTATGACTGAATAGAAGGTAAAAATGGTATACTGCAGCTAAGAGGAGAAAAGCCACACTTCCGTTCAGTCAGAGAAATTAAAAAAAAAAAAAAGAGGAGGAAGATGCAGGAAATGGATTGCACAGCAGCAACTGTGAACATGAAGAAAGACCGGGGAAGTGTTTCATTCTATTGTAGAGAGTTGTTAGGCACACTCCATGGTACTTGTTAGCACCTTACTACTAAACCCAGCAGTGGCTTGCAGCAAAATCAAGTAGATTAAAGGAGTTGATTCTACCTGGATCTTCAGATTCCACTGAGCCAGAGGCCCATTTATACACATATAAATGGGAAGATGGTGTAGGTATGGAGAAGAGTAGATGAAACTGGAATGCTTTAAAAATGGTTACGTTTTTTACTAGGTCAACAAAATTTTGGTGCCCTCAGGGACCTGAAGAGGCTGTAGTATCTCTCACTTGCAGACACCAGGAAACCAAAAGGGAATTCAGTGGGGATAGAGAGAACAAAAACAAGCAAGAATGAGTCAAAGAAGAAAAGAAACCATGCTCGCCTTGATGACCACATAAGTATGATAGAAACATGGAGGGAAATGTGAGAAGCAAAATATCAAACTAAATATTAATAATTAACTAAATGCTGTATCAGGATATGAGGAAGGTGTAAATAAAAGCTGGAATTTCCCCTGAGACAGGTCACAGGGGTCAAGCACCAAGGCAGACCTAAGGCAACTTCACAATTCTTGGATTGGATTTACTAACCCCTTCCTCCTGAGATAAGCATAAGGTTGACAACAGAGAAAATCTCAACTTCATTTGCAAAAGATTTCTCTTTGTGATTTGCTTCCCAGTGATTCTCAATAAAATCAATGAAAGGTATGGCTTGAAGGCTTGAGTCTTCCAGCTCTTTGCCCCCTGCCTTTATGCTTTCTGTCTTTTCCTCAAAAAAAGGGGGTTATATGTTTATCTGAATATATTATGAATGTTTCTCCTCCCTAGTGTGTTATCAACAATTTCATCTTACTTGGATCCACAACCAACATTCTTGGCACCAGCTGTCAAGAAATCAAAAGACAAGCTGCATTGGGAAAATCCGTCAAAGACCTCTTTAGAGTGTTAAAGAGCAATGGTGTCAGTCTAAAGACTAAGGTATGCCTGATCCAAGCCATGACCTTTTTACTTGCTTGCTATGCTTCTGAAAGCTGGACAATAACTAAGGATGACAAAGTAATTAACATTTTTCAGTTGTTGTTCTGGGGAAGAGAACGGAATATCTGATGGACTGTCAAGGGAACAAACAAGTCTGTCCTGGAGAAAGTGAAATCAGGGTGCTCTTTGGAGCAAGGACAGTGAAACTAGAGTTTCACAGTTGTCTCACACACTTTGGGCATGTCATAAGGAGAGGCCAGTACTTGGAGAAGGACATTATGCTTAAAAAGGCTTACAATGATCCTCGTAAGATAGGAAGACCCTTGATGTGAGGGATTGACACAGTAACTACAGCAATAGGGTAAAATGTGTTGAATATGGTGAGGTTGACTCAGGATGGGGCAAGGTTCAGAACTATTGTTCACAGGGTAACTGTGACTTTATGGCACATAACAACAATAGTATTATAAAATAGACCTAAATGTATGGTGGTGGTGGTGGTTGTTAGATGCCGTCAAGTATAACTCATAGAGACTCTATGAACAAAGGATCTGAACCCTGTCCTGTCCTATGCCATCTTCACACTTCCAGACACACTAGAGTTCACTGCGGCACTCACCGTGACAACCCACCAGATTGAGGGTCTTCCTCTCCTTTGCTGACCCTCCATCCTTCCTAGTATCATGTCCCTTTCCAACGAATAGCACCTCCAAAGATTTCTCTTTGTGATTTGCTTCCCAGTGATTCTCAATAAAGTCAATGAAAGGCAAATGTGCCCAAAGTATATGTGAGACAAAGCCTCATCACTCTTGCCACCAAAAAACACTCTCGCTACAACCTCTCCAAGACATATTTGTTTGTTCTTTTGGCCATTTATGGGATGTTCTGTGCTCTTCTCCAACACCATAGCTCCAAGAGATCAATTCTTCTTCTGTCATCCTTATTCATTATCCAGCTCTCATATAGCAAGTGATTGGAAAGACCATGCCCTGAATCAAACACACCTTAGTCCTCAAACTGATATCATTACTCCTCAATAATTTGAAGAGGTCCTTAACTGCAGATTTTTCCAGTGTAATGTGTCTCCTTATTTCCTGGCTTCTGGTACTACATTGTTAACTGTGGGTCCAAATGTATGGTAGTAGTGAATAATAGTTATTATAGATGACAGAGAGTAAGTCACTACTTGATTGGATATGCTAAAAGGGTAACTAGGATGTGCTTGAAAGAAACACAAGCTGTTGGTTGTGGAGTATTGAGTGCTTAAGTGGAAAAAGCCAAGCCCTACCCTGATTCTTTCCAGATTAAATTTGCTTTTGAAAAGACATGAAGACTCACCCAGAACTGCTGAGAGAACAGATTTGTGTTTTGAAGGAAGGACTTGCAAAAGGAAAAAGAAAATAATTTTTTTTAAAAAAGACTTGTTTTTTTTTTAATTTCAAGAAATTTGCCACTGGATGCCAAGGCAGAATAAGTCAATGCCCATAAGAAAAATTCGCTTCCAGGACTGGAAGTAAAAAGGAACTGATAAACAGCCAAATATACACCCATGAGGTAATTACTTGAGGGGGTTCACTTAATGAGTACAACATGGACGAGATGGGTTGAATTAGGGTATGTTCCACTGGCACCAGTTGAGACTAGGAATGAGAAAGTGCTGGGTGGTCTAAAGTGCAGGGAGGTTGTACACTCCCACACTTCCAGCTGGTGTTCAGGAGCTTGCAGGGCTAGGATGAACTGACCAGAAACTGACGAGCAAACAGAAAGACGTTTGACACCATGAGCTGATGTAGATGGCTGCGATTTGGTGGCATGCTGTGGACTGGACGTTGTCCCTGAATGCAGAGTGCCAACCAGGACAAAAAGTTCTTCACAATCAATGGACATGCTTGTATCTTCAGAGCAATGGTTTCATAGAGATAAGCGCTTTAGTTGGTTATATTGAATGAGAGGTGATAAAGGTTTGAAGTGACTGGCTTACAATCTATTAGAGGTGTGCTTACACTCAAAATGAGGGGATACAAAGGAGGAACCCACTCTATTTTCCTGATGAGTCTGAGGCAGATGTGTCTGATGGAGGAAAATGAGAATATGACTACATGACTTAGCTGTAAGTAATGATTATTAGGGAGCTCTGGTAGGCTAGGGGTTCCCTATCAGGGAACTCTTCACCCTAGGGGTAAGGAGTTATGTTGCTGTTCAAATCCACAAGCTGTTCCAAAGAAGGATGGGGAAACCTCCTCCCATGTGATTTACTGAAAAACCCCTGGAGGGTCAGTTATTAGTCAGCTGGCACACATGACCACCACAACAATGATTGTTACAGGGGTTACAATTGTAAAACTGTAATTCTAGAAGCTGTAATTTTGAGTAAACTAAAGACAATGTTGTACTGGAGTTCCGTAAAGGTTTTGCTATCCTGATACCTTGTGAGGTTCCAAGTGAATAATCTTCAGTTAGAGCTGAGCACCTTTTGGTGAAGGCTTACTGGTGCAGTAGGGTGCCTCTGTGCGGCTTATGGGTAGAACTAAAACAGCTTATGATACTTGTTCAAGTAGGACAGAGGCCCGGAGCCACAGGACCAAAAGCCTGAGCATCTGAGAGTGGTGTACCTGTGCTCACTGCTGAGAAAAGGCTATCCTGATTAAAGAACTCTATCCTGAGTTGTTTTGGATTCAAAACTGTAACCTGTTACTTCATCCTAACAAACCCCTTACTTGTATTGTCTGTGAGTTCTTACATGGCCATGGCAACAAATTATCAAACCCAGTAGAGAAGTAAAGAGCACCATAGAAGGGACAATAGGTGTCAGAATTGGTAAAAAGGTTGGAGAATGTAGGTACGTCTGACCTCTGCCTCACAGGAATTAGCCTGGGCTGTTGATCTTGATCCTCATTTCCTTTGTGACGTTAAAGGAAATTAGATGCCTCCACCATGTCACACGTACAGTGGACAAGAACACAAGGTCCTTATCTTTGGGGAGCTTACATGCTAATGGATGGGAGAAAGAAGACAATAAATGTATTTTAATTAAAAGCAAATTTTTATTATTTACTATGAGCCAGGCACTTTAAAAATTATGTGAATTGGACTCACTCATTTAATCCTCACTAGAGCCCTGTTAAGTAGATCCATGCTACCAGAGAAGTGAAGTAGCTTGTCCACATTTTCATAGCTATTAAACAAGAAAGCTAGGATAGGAGCCTAGCCACTCTGGTTCAAGCTAAATAAAGAAGAAAATTCAGATACTGATAACTATTGAATAGAAAATAAGCAATGTGATAGTGAGGAGGAGACATTTGAGATGAGATCTAAAAGACAAGGATGAGCCAGCTATGCAAAAATCTGGTTGGAGGGGAGAACACTGCAGGCAGAGAGAGGACAGCAAGTGCAAAGGCCCTGTGGTGGTAGCAAGCTTAGTGTAGCAAACCTTTCAGAGAAATAGGAGGGCTGTGTATGTTCTTTTGGCTATAGAAGAAATGGAGCTCAGAGAGATAAGGCCCTTGTCCTCTAGAAAGTTGTAGGCTAGGAACAGTCTGAGTATTTTGGTTGCCAGGCTAGGTCACTTCCTGGGGCCCTCATGATTGGCCTGGAGGAGGGATACAACCAAGGCTCCAGTTTCCCTCTGGCCTGCTCTGGTCCCAAATGAACAAAGGCTCCTTCTCTCCCTCCTGGCCCTTCTGGTCCAGCTGAAATGCCCATTGTGTTCCAGCTGACCCAGCTGAAATTCTGGCCATTGTCCCAGGGCCTCCCATACCCTCTGCCACTTGCCCGCCCCAGCCTTCTTGGATTCTCTTTGCCCATCCAGCCTGGTCCTATCTCCACCCAGGCCTCACACCTGTGTCAGCTGTGTTGATGTGGTAGCTTCGACTGCTGTAAGTGATCAGCTGCAGCTGCCGGTTGAGCTGGTCCAGCCCTGGGCTGGTGATTGTGAGATCTGGCTGTCCCTCTCCAATGAGAGTCACTCCTGCCACTTCCCCTGCCACATCCCAGATGCCCAGGGAGGCAGTAAGGTTCACCTGGAGAGAGGGTTGGAAGGTGTTGGGTTAGGCATCAGATCCATCTCTTACCTCCCTGGTCCTTCAATTTCTCCCTTAGCCCTGTCTCTCCCAGTATCCTTGATGAGCCCTTGGCTTCCCTGTCCGTTTTCTCTCACCTGGTAGAGGTCCTGACTGGAAGCTGCCTGCAGACTGAGCCCTAGGAAGGATGAGAGATCAGAATCATAGAGTCCCACATTTTTCTTCAATTTCTCTTCCCCCTCTTAGTATATACAGCACACTTGGCTGTGCTCCATTCATCCTGTTGAGGCTTCAACAGGGCATACTGGCGAACATATTCTTGACTGGTTTTTAACTACTTTACATCAGCACAGTATTTCTGCTACGGCCTGGCTTATTCACCTGCCAAACCTTTGATCAATCAGCAAAGATGGAGTTCTTCCCCCCAGACCTCTCCAGTACCAAAGCCCAACCAAACCTGTTGCTGTCATGTTGATTCTGCCTCATGGGGCCCCATGTGTTACAGGATTGGACTGATCCCCTGGAATTTGATTTATACAAGGAACCCTAGTGGTTCAGCATCTGGTTACTAAGTGGAAGATCAGTGGTTTTAATCCACTACTTATGCAAAGGGAAGATGTAGCAGTTTGCTTCCATAAAGATTGCAGCCTGGGAAATTCTCTGACCTCTAGGGGGGGTCACTGTAAGTTGTTGTTGTTAGGTACCCTCGAGTACAATCACAGTGACCCTATCAACAGATCTGAACCTTATTCTGTCCTGTGCCATCCTTAAAATCTCTGATACACTTGAGTCCATTGCTGCAGTTACTGTACCAATCCATTTGAATCTTCCTCTCTTTTGCCCTCCTTCTACCTTTCCAGGCATGATGTCTCTCTCCAAGGAATAGCCTCTACTATCAACATGCCCAAAGTATCCGAGATGACTCTTTATCATCTTTGTCTCCAAGGAGCACTATGTACCTTCTCCATGACATAGTTCTTTGTTCTTTTCCGTCGGATAGTTAGTACTCTTCTCCAACACCACAACTCAAAGGCATCAATTCTTCTGTCATCCTTACTCATTGTCCAGCTCTCAGATGCATAACAATTGATTGAAAAGACCATAGCATGAATAAGGCACACCTTAGTCCTCAAACTGACATCATTGCACCAGTAATTTGAAGAGGTCTCTGATTGCAGACTTTCTCAGGGCAATATGTCTTTTGATCTCCTGGCTGCTATGTTGACTGTGAATCCAAGTAAGATGAAGTCATTGACAATCTCAATTTTTTCTTCATCTATCATGATGTCACCTATTGGTCCAGTGGTGAAAATTTTTTTCTTGATGTTGAGATGCAATCTATATTGAAGGCTGTAGTCTTGATCTTCTGCAGTAATCACTTCAATACTCCTCACTTTCAGTGAGCAAGGTTGTGTCATCTGTATAATGGAGGTTATTGAGTCTTCCTCTAATCTTGCTGCCACATTCTTCTTCAAAGAGTCCAGCTTCTCAAATAATTTGCTAAGCATATAGATTGAATAAGTATGGAGAAAGGATACAATCTTGATGCACATCTTTTTAAATTTTAATGTTCCCTTGCTCTAGTCACACGACAGCCTCTTGGTCTAAGCATAGGTTTTACATGAACAAAATTAAATGTTCTTTATAGTATAGTTTTCTTTAAAACATAGAATGATAAGTTATAGCATAATTCACTATGAGTTAGGATCTATCAAACAGCAATGTTTTGGTTTTTGTTTCAATCTTTCCAGAAGCAGATGTCCAGACCTTTCCTCTACAGCAGTGGTTCTGAACTGCCAGCCTTTATGTTACTAGTAAAGTGCACAATTTTTCAAAATTGTGAAAAATTCCTGGCAATTCTAGCATCCCTCTGTGCCCCACCCCTTACCTTATGAGCCCCTTCCATCTTCTAAGTCACCCTCTCAAGAGCTCCACCTCCCATTTCAACCTTCCCTCATTCTTCCACCCAGACTCAGGCTCTGCCACCCTCACCATGGCTCAGCGCATCCTCTAGACCTTTTTCCCCCACCTGGCACCAAGATGCTCCTGAGGGGCTGAACCTCCACACCCTGCAGCGGGTACTGTAGAGGGGAATTGGCAGGGGCTATAAGCAGCTGGTCAGCAGTGGACTGGCTCCTGGCAGTGGAGGAGGGAGAAGAAAGAGGGGAGTCAGGAGGAATGAGGCTTCAGCTATGCCCACCCTCTAGGCCACCCAAGGCTCTCCCCATCACAGCCATCTCCTTCCTTCTTGCTCGCACCTTGACAAGAAGGCCTGGAACTCCTGCTCCCTGCTGGCAGAGACAGCCTTCAGCTCCTGAGGGTCAAAGGCCTTGGTGAAGTCAGTGGCTCGGACTTGCCTCTGGAAGGGTAGAGTAAAGCCTCCCCCACTGGACTCACAACTGCAATTGTTCTGAGCCAACAGCCTGGAGAGGGGATGAGGAGGCATCAGAGCACTGCTCCTTTCACTTTCACAAACTACAGACAAACTACACACCTTGGCTGCACCGCACTTCCTGTCCAGTATTTGTTCTCTTAAACATTACTCCTCAAATAGTTCCCAAGAGGGAGAACTATGGATACGATGCTGTGTCCCCTAAGTCTGGATTTTACGGAAGAACAGAATTAGGCCAATTAACTAGGATTTCAGAAGCTGCCTACGCACCATGCAAGACCTCATCTGGAATCTCCCTTTTTTGACTAACTCATAGGGGTGGGGGTGGGGGACGACTCTTTCAGGCTCTTCCCTTGAGTGAACAGCCACCCCATCCTCATGATAAGGTTCAGAGAGAGGCAGATCACCCCTGTCCCACTCCCTCTTGACTCTTATGTTTTTCTTTCTTTCTTTCTTTTTTTTTTTCCGCCAGGAAGACCCAGGCTTCCACAGTCCAGCACTCCTCACCGCCAGCGGCTACCGGGGTGGTTCTGACACACTCACCTCACCACTTGCTCTTTGATCCTGACCTGTATGTGTGCGTATCGGGGTTCTGGGGCAAGATCCAGCAGCTGGGGCCTTGCGGGGCCTTGCAGGGGTGCCCACAGTGAAGGTGGAGTCCTGGGGCCCGACGCCTCTCGGGTTCTCACATACAGGAGCCCCAGCGAGGTGCAGGCGAGCAGGAGGACCAGCCCGCAAAGGGCCCTTCGGCCCAGCCGCATCCTGTAGATGGCAAAGAGTGAGGGAGGGAATGGGCCCGGACTCTGGACCTTGGTGGCTTCTGAGCCTCTAACTGGCTCCCTGGGGCGCTTTCCACACCTCAAGGGCTAGGATTACACAATGATTCGTTCTTCTACACCCCACCCTCTCCCCCTCTGCCTCTTCTCACTACGGGGCCACAGAGGCTGCGGCCTCCTTTCTTATCTCCTTCTCTCACATTTGTGTTTGTCCTCACATCTGAGGCCTGGCATCTTGATGCAAGAAGCAGTGAGATGCGGCTTATAGATGAGAAAGCACCATTCCTACCCAACCCCCGAAAGAGCGGCGGTTTGGGAGCCTGCTGCCTAGTGCACTCCTCGGCCACGCGCCTCCCTAGTTCAAGCATCACCTGGGCCAGGGTAGGTTGCAAAGGGGGACTCCACAGCTTGTTTGTCAGGAAAAATGTAGAGACCCGTCCGCTATCGGGTGCCCGCACGGAGGGGGTCCAGTGAGTGGTCTCGGCAAGCGAGAGAGGAAGGAAGAGACGAGGGGATCGGCGCGCACGACTCCCCCGCCCCCAGCTCGGCCCTCCCCGCGCTCGAGCACTGACCTGTCTACGGCCCCACCGCTGCGGCACGCTCGCGGTCCGGGCTGTGCCTGGCTCCCAGCGCCGGCCTGGAGGTCCTCATGGGGCCGGAGCGGTCTGTCCCGGAGGCGGCGTGAACCTGAGTGGGGGTTCCTCCTGCCTCCCGAGCGCGCTCAAGCCCTCCCACCCCGCGGACCCTCCCGGCTTTGTGGACCGCAATGCCGGGGTGACTCTTGGCGTTCCCGTAGATGAGAAACCAAATTGAGAAACGGCGGCGTATCAGCTGCGGACACAAAGGCGGGACTCCTTGGCGCCCTACGCCTCCAGCCGGGCCGCGAGGGCTCCGGCAGCCGCGCTGCTATCGGGATCGCGCCGCGCCTCTCGGATCCCGGGCTCCAGGCGGCGGAGGCTTCTGGCTCGGCGCCGGGAATGCGCGCGCCGGGGCGCCTTCTGGCGGGCGCAGAGAGACGTGCAGGACCAGGGAAGGTTACCCCACGCCGTCCTTCAGCCATGTGCCTCCAGTCCTGGAGGTCGTATTTCTCACGGGTTCAGACTCTCCCTCTTATCGCGATTTTACATAAAACTAGGCAATAGGGGATTAGCGAAGGCATGAGAAGAGGGCGCTCTAATGCTCCATTTCTTGGAACATAAAAAAAAAAGAAAAGCAATAAGCCTAGATACTGGAAAAGAATGTGTCTACTGGGCTAACAAAGACAGATCCAAACATATCTCTTCTCAAAGTTCTGATAGAACCTTGTTCAAAGGCCTATGTTTGTTGTTAGGACTCCAGGTGGCTTCGTGGATAAAGCAGATGACTGCAACATGAGGTCAGTTCAAACTCAATAATCGCTCTATTCAAGACAAGTGCAACAATTGGCTTCTGTCATATGTTCTTAGGTGCCATCAGGTCTATTAGGGCACATAGTGACTTTATGATTGGAGTCTTGACCCATTCAGTGACATCCTCATGATCTCTGACATGCGCAAGCCCGTGTGGTAGTCACAGTGTTAACATATCTTGTGGAGGGTCTCCCTCTTATTATTGTGAGGACAATGCTTTTGTCCACTTCCCTTGCCCAGTTAAATAATTAAACAAGGAAGAAGAGACTGAAAGAAGGGATGGTGCCCAAGCTACCAAATAGCACAGTGTGGCCCTTGGGAGAGCTGACTTCAGTGCACAGAGTCGGGGGGGGGGGCGGAGCCGGGTGGGGGGGAGCAATATAGAAGGGCTAATTTTAGTGGTCAGCATTGGGGCTGTTAGAAGAGCTGTTACTGATCATGCTCAAAATAATCTCAGTGCAGGCTGAGGCCTTGCTGGAGTCCTGGGCCGAGAGCATAAATTGAAGCGCTAGACTGAAAAGAAAGGCGAGGAAGCAGAAATGATGGTAAAAAGTAAAGGTAGATTCATTAGAAAAATTAGATGCCAGAGGATTAGGTTTTTCTGCTCAGAAAGGAAGTGACAGAAGAATCAGCATGCCGACGAGGTGAGGTGCATTCTTTTCAATTGCTTGCTATGCCTCTGAGAGCTGGACAATGAATATGGGTGGCAGAAAAAGAATCAATGCCTTTGAGTTGTGGTGCTGCTGAAGAGTGTTGATCGTCCACGAGAACAAACAGGGCTGTCCTGGAGAGAATACAACCAGGTTGCCCCTTAGAGGCAAGGATTTTGAAGCTATGTCTCACATACATTTAGCATGTGGCCAGGAAGAACCAGTTCTTGGAGAAGGACATTATACTCGGAAGGGTGGAAGGTCAGTGCAGGAAGTGAAGACCCTTGATGAGATGGATTGATGCAATGACTGTGGTAATGGGACAGATGTGTCAGAGATGGTAAGATTGGTGCAAAATAGGTCACAGTTCAGGGCTTTTGTGCGTAGGGTCACTATGAGTTGTACAGCACATAACAAGTATTTAATGAACACTGTTGGAACAGATGAGGAGAAGAACTATCTGCAAGGAATATATGATTAGAGACATGTGTATGACAAGATTCTGGGACAAGAGGTGCATTGCAAAATGGACTGGGAGAGTGGGCCCACGAGATATCATCATGAAGAGGTCAAAGTTTAGGGGAGTGGTTCTTATTCTAGTCCATTTTTCTCTAATTTAACTCATGTACCTAATCTACTCATTCCACTCAGGTAGTGTCTGCTTCCTGGTTCTGACGACTGATGTTTTGTCAGGTGTGAGCTTCTGTCTCCTCTGTCTCATTGTTTCTAGCCTAAAACTCTGACAGCATGATCTCTCTCTCCAAGGACTGGTTCCTCCGGAAAATATGCCTAAAGTGAGAGGAAGATTCACTATCCTTGCCTCTAAGAAGCACTCTACATATATTTCTTCAAGACAAATTTGTTTGCTCTTTTGTCAACCCATGGTGTATTTAATACTCTTTGCCAGCAGCACAATTCAAAGGCATTGATTTATCTACTGTCATATTTAGGCATTGTCCAACTTTCAGATGCATAGAAAGCAATTGATAATACCATGATTTGGATCAGGTGCACCTTAGTCTTTAAAATGGCATAATTGCTGTTCAATACTTCAGAGAGGTCCTTGACAGCAGAGTTCCCAATGTCTTTCAGCAATTTTGTCTGTTACTACTGAGAATATTGACTGTGGATCTTTTTTTTTATTAAATTTTATTAGTTTTAATGAACATTTACAGAGATTTTGGGTTTTCATTCATTTATTGTTGCACTGTTTTCTCCACCCTCCTCCCCAGTTCATTCTTCTTTCCCCCCATGTCTGTTTTAATTGTCCAATTGCCACAGTGCTTGTCAAAGCCAGTTCTGATTAATCTCCTTTGTCAGTGTGTCCCTTGCCATTCCCTATCA